GGAGCTAGAAAACCAAAAGGGAAGAACACACTCAGCACTTCTCAAACTAAAAAAAAAAAAACTGAAGAAAAAATGTAAGGCTCTAATTGCAATATTGAGCATAATGGGCATAATGTAGGAGCTCTGCTAATGTAGTGCCTAAGGCATTTGACTGCTAACGAGAAGCCACTCCTCGGAAGGAAGATTGGGCAATCTACTTCTGTGGTGATACTGCCCTGGAAACCCAAGGAGAGGTCACTATGAGTCAGATCCAACTCTATGGCAATGAGTTTGGTTTTGGTTTTGGTTTTGGTATGAGCATGACATTGAACAATGTAGGAAGCATCAAAAGAAGATGGAAGGAATACACAGAGTCACTGTACCAAAAAGAATTGGTTGACATTTAACCATTTTAGAAGGTAGCATATGATCAAGAATCAATGGTACTGTAGTAAGAAGTCCAAGCTACACTGAAGGAACTGGTAAAATAGAAGTCTCTAGGAATTGATGGAACACCTTTTAAGATGTTTTAGCAAATGGATACCATGCTGGAGGCACTTAATCATTTATGCCAAGAAATTTGGAAGATAGCTACTTGCTCAACCAACTGGAAAACATCCATATTTTTGCCCATTCCAAAGAAAGATGATCAAACAGAATGTGGAAATTATCAAACAATATCATTTATATCAATGCAAGTATAATGTTGCTGAAGATAATTCAAAAATGGTTGCAGCACTATATTGACAGGGAACTTCTAGAAATGCAAACTGCATTCAGAAGAGCATGTGGAACAAGGGATATTGTTGCTGATGTCAGATGGATCTTGGCTGAAAGGAGAGAATGCCAGAAAGTTGCTTACCTGTGTTTTGTTAACTATGCAAAAGCATTCAACTGTGTGGATCGTAATAGATTATGGATAATACTGCAAAGAATGGGAATTCCGGAACACTTAATTGTATACGGAAGCTCTGGTGGCATAGTGCCTGAGGCACTTAACTACTAACGGTAAGGCTGGTGGTTCCTCAGAAGGAAGGCTGGGCAATCTACTTCTGTAGTGATACTGCCTCGGAAACCCAAGGAGGAGTCGTTATGAGTCAGATCCGACTCCATGGCAGT